TAGATTGCCTTAAAGTGCGCCTGCGTACCCTGCTAGAACCCCTCCTCCTAGAGACACTGTAGTAGTTAAAGACTCTAAGCAATACCTACAAGTTTAGATCTTAGTTAAAGCTTGTACGCGAGTCTTTTACTTAGTCACCTATTACTACATAAGCAGGCTTCTCTTAGCTTGTTAGAGGTAGCGAGCTTATGCTGCATTAGAACGCGCTTTAAGCAGCCCAGATTACTGAGCTTGAAGAGCAATTAGCAGTAATAACTAAGCAGAAATCGCGCAAAAGGAAGCAGATCTAGTAAGGTGGTACTATAGAGTATGGTGAGGTAGCAGCTTAGGTGGCTGCAGAGGCCTCTGTAGCCGCTAAGCGGTTAAAGAAGGCTTGTGGTAGTAGTAATTAAGAACAAGCTTAACTAGCTCTACAGCGCTGTAGAAACTATAGAGGGACTAGACACAACGCGCGAATATACAAAAAAGATATAGAGGCATATTCTAAATTAGATACAAGCACAGCGTACGCAGGCTCTATATTAAATAGCAATGAAATTGAAGAGTTGTAACGTGAGTTGGTACTGCCAAGCTTTTTTGGCCCAGGTGCTGGGTTGGCCTGGGTGCTGGGGGTTTACGTTATACTTAAACTTAATAAGTTTAGAAATAATCTTATTTAGTTTCTACTACTTAGGAGCTCTGTCTTAATTAATATAGTAGCAATCCTGTATAGAGTAGTGTTGTCTACATGCAGGGCATTTTGCTCCCCTAGTAGAAGCAGGCTCTTAATCTAAAGGCTGCTTAAGCGTGGTGGTTTTCCTACCTGCTGTATATTAATATTAAGGTCTGCCCTAGTTAGATAGCGCGCTTACAGCATGTTGGGCGTCCCCTTTATAGCTCTAGGAGGCTGCACCCCCTTTAGCAAGAAATACTGCATTGTTAGCCACAAAGGCCTTGTGCTGCCCTAATCTAAGGGGATAATTTATTATTATATGCTCTTAGTAGTGTTTTATTATCTCCTTCTAACTTAACGTACTCCACAAGCGAGTGACCGGCACAAGCGAGTGACCGGGTTTTGCCAAGACCACACCAAACTTCACTCTGCCTATTATACCTCAACAAAATAACATGAAGAGGCTGTCAAATGAAGCAGACATACAGCTTGCTCTCCAGGCTATCCAAGAAGACGCGAATCTTACTGTGCCACGCGCTGCAGCTATCTATAAGGTGTTAGAAAGCACCCTACAACAATGACGCGATGGAAAGCTCTCTTAACGCGATTGCAAGCCTAACATGATAAGGATAACTAGTACTAAAGAGGAGGTAATTGTCCAGCATGTATTAAAGCTAGACGAGTGAGGATACTCGCCCCAGCTTGCTAATGTGGAGGATATGGCCAATTCTCTGCTTGCTGAGCGCCACCAGCCCCATGTTGGCAAGAACTAGGCTGCCAACTTTGTCAAACGTCAGCCAGAGCTTAAAGTCAAATTTAATTATAAGTATAATTATAAGAGAGCTCTATGTAAGGACCCTAAGGTAATTAGGGACTAGTTCTAACTAGTAGAGAATACTAAAGCTAAGTATAGTATATAAGATAAAGACACCTACAACTTTAATAAGTCTAGCTTTATAATAGGCGTTATATTAACAGGAGCTATTGTCACAGGCTCTAAGTGTTAAGGGAGACTAAAGGCAGTGTAGCAGGGCGACTGAGAGTAGACTAGCATTATCTAAGGCATCTGCGCGAAGGGCTAGTCTATCCCACCCTTTATTATCTTCTCTAGCAAGCACCACCTCTCTGCCTAGTACAAGGAGCCTAGTATACCTAACAACTAGGTTCTTAATGTCTCTAATAACAGCTAGACTAATAACAAGCTTAGAGTTAAGTGGTTGAAGCACTTTAATAAGCACACAAAGGCGCGCACTGTTGGCAGCTATCAGCTGCTTATTCTGGACGGCCACGAGAGCCACAACTTAGTCGAATTCCACCAGTACTGCGAGGAACACAAGATTATTACCCTGTGTATGCCTCCACACTTGTCGCACCTACTGCAGCCACTTAACGTGGGCTGTTTTTCTCTGTTAAAGAAGGCCTATGGCCACCAAGCCAAGTGGCTGATGCGTAGCAAGATCACGCGTATTACTAAACTTGAGTTCTTGCCATGCTTCAAAGCGGCTTTTGACGCCTCAATTATAGAGAGTAATATCTAGGGAGGATTTAGAGGTGCTAGCCTAGTCCTATTTAACCTAGAAGCTGTGATATCAAAGCTTGAAGTACAACTATGCACGCTAACACCACCTACTGTAGACAACAGTACGTGGGAGTCTAAAACACTAAGCAATACGCTAGAATTTAGGTCTTAATTAAAGCTAATTTAAGAGAGGATTTAGAGATATACTAATAGCTTGCTAACATCTATAGTTAACGCTCTTAATTAGCTTACTAAAGGCGCAGAGCTAATGGCGCATTTACTAGTTTTAGTGCGCAACTAGGTTGCTAACCTATAGGCAGCTAATAAGGCTGCTACACGTTGTAAATTACACAAAAGGAAGTAATTACAGCAAGAGGGGACTCTAACCTTTGCTAAGGGAGTGCAGCTAACTACTCTAAAGGAGTTTAAGGCCTGTAGTGATAGGAAGAAGGCAAAGAAGAGGTTGTGTGTTAATGGGAGCACTCAGTCTTTAAGGCGCTGTGGCACATGTAGCAAGACAGGGCACAACGCGCGAACATGTAGTAAAGATGCGCAGAGTACTATAGACTAGTTCTATATACTGTATAGTATAATATATTGTTGTTGTGTGCTGTAATGTTGCAAAGTAGGTACAGTGTTGGTGTAGTCTTGGCAAAACCCGGTCACTCGCTTGTGCCGGTCACTCGCTTGTGGAGTACGTTATACTAGATTTAAAGCGTCTACTATCTTGAAAGCTTGTAGCCCACATAGGCGCGACCCTGTTCACAGCTGTTAGGAAGTCCTTTGTTATCACATTTAATTGTGATAATTTGGCGACTTTGTACGTCTCCGCTTCTGTAGCTGCCTAGTCATACTTAGCTAGCCAGGTATCCCATTGTGACGTGCTTCTTATTGGCTTAAGTGCTAAGAGGTATCTGTCTTAGGCTTGTTCTTGTTTAATTTATTTATTAACCCTAACAGTAAGTTGTAGGTCTGTAATCCACTGTTGCAGTAGTTTCTTAGGAAGACAGCATGTGCGCAGTAGATGTAGTGACACAGTTAACTAGATAAACACAATAATGTGCTAAAGGCTTGCTTCCTCCTTCTTATATTTGTATTAATTGTTCTTGTATTATTTAAGGAGTACTTTGTAATACTTAAGGTCTTCCTTAAATGCCTTCTAGCCTATTATTAATAGCTTAGTTAGCCTTAATAGTATGTTGGTGTTTGTGGCTGGCGCGTAGTTAGTAATGGTTGGAGCTAGGCTGGCGGATGGGTAGGGTATGCTTTTTTACGTTTTGGCTTATAGCTTCTTAACTAGCAGAGATACGCTTACATAATCTATTATTCAATAGAAGCGCCTAGTATTGCGCCTTCTAATAAAAAAAGAATTAGCTGATTCTGCCTAGTATTAGATAAGTTATTAACACTACCTAGCAAAGTATACCTATTAATGGGTATGCTTGCTAGGTACCCCCCCTTTTTTAACGTTTTCTAGCCTCTAGCTTGTGCAGTTTAATAGTTATAACAAAACCTTCTACTATAAAAATGTAGAGGTGGTTTTTCTCTTTCTTTTCAGCCCTAGTTTGCTAGAATCCATGTATTATTGATAAGGTTTTGGGGGGTACCCACGAAGGACGTTGGAGTATACCCATTCCGCCAGCCTAGTTGGAGCCCTCAGCAAGAGTGGCTTTGATAGTAGTGGTGTAGTTGTCTTTGGGTTGATCTTGTCCCAGATGTTGCGCAACAGGCATCTCGCCTGTAGCTGCGCGAGCCAGCCAGTCCAGTCGGCTTGGTCCCTGAGGACTGTTGTTGGGTCGCGGTACGTTGGTTGCGCCATTTCAGTTGCAGCAGTGAGGTTGCAGCAGTGAGACTCTTAATTGTTAGATGCTCGCACTGTGAGCCAGAGTATGTGCTTAACAAGATCTTAGGTGGTATGATGATTTATTGATGATCGTGGCGATGGTGTTCCTCCGTGGCGTCGTGCTGGTTGCTACAGGATTGAAGTGGGGGGGAATTAGCGCTGTTCGCGGCCGCCGGTGTGCGGGCCAATCAGGAGTTGCAAGGTCTCGCTTAATCGACCTGGCAACTGCTGATTGGCTGCACGACAGGTCCCTGCTTGATTGCGCAGATCCGACCTCTCGCCGCTCGCTCTTATCTGACAATTATGTTAGGGTAAAAGGTGGTTGTGCTAAGAGAAAGTGGCCAGTTCGGTGATATGGCTGGCTTGGTGATAATCTACGTTAGCGCGTTTAGAGAGTCTGCGCTGGTTAGTGTTAAACGCAGCAGCAGCAGCCTAATGGCTCTAAAACTGTATAGTATTATAGGCTTAGAGAGTAAGCTAAAGTCTCCCTTTGTGTTAAAGCAATAAGTTGTAATATTGCTAAGACATACTGTAAAGTGTGGAGTTGTGTTAGTCTTGGCAGATTTTGACTAGTTCGGTGATATGACCGGGCTCGATAATAGAGTACGTTACCCTACCTATACCTACAAATCACGTGACTATACTTTACCCAACCCTACCCATCCGCCAGTCTATTTAAGCACCTGTTGATAATACTGGTGGAGCGATGTGCTGGTCACCAAAGAAGGTGCAAGATGCGCGCCTTGAACAAGAGGCCAAAGCGCCTGGAGCGTGCAACTAGGCACGCTCCAGGCGCTACACCAGAACCGCTTTATTGGCAAGCCCGTCATGGTGACGTCACTCTTGGAGTTCTGCTGCTTGGACTACGTTTGCTCTCTCAAAGCTCCAGCTCGACGTCAACTTACCACTACAATTCGTTTGAGATATCCGAGCTCCAGTTCCATCAACTTCGTCGATCAATTGCAAATCCACACACATCTTATACGATGTACTCAAGACAAGCCATGCAGAACGCGCGCTTCGCAGCTCGCAGCGCAGCTCGCCCTGCCGCCCACGTCAAGCCTCAGTTCCGTGCGCAGAAGCCTCGTTTCCAGTCAACTGAATCAGCAGCTTCCGGTAACTCTGGCGCTGGGTCACAAGCTGCCATCGGCGCCGTCTCAGGTGCCGCCGCCGCTGTCGCTGTTGGCTATATCTTTTACCGACAGTCTGGTGCCCGAGACCTGGTAGCAGCTTCCAAGCAGACTAAGAACTACATCAATTCAACCACGCAGAAGATCAAGGAGAACACACCCGAGCCTAACGAGGCCCTCGAGTGGCTGCGCAACGCTGCACAGAGCTACGCTGCTTTTATCCCCGGCGCCAAGGGATACGTAGACTCTGCTTTCAACGACCTTGATGCTGTCCGCGCGAAGCACGGTGACGAAGTCGACTCAATCGTTCGTGAGGCTTACGGCGAGCTCCGCGATGTTCTGAAGGGAGGTGACATCAGTGTCTTCACCGCCCAGCAGGCATGGCAGGTACTCGTGAAGCACCTTGGCCGCATTGCCGACCTCTCTGGCGACGTCGCCCAGCAAATCATGGACAATCACCCCATGCTGAAGGAGAAAGTTGGCGGCAACCTGGACACACTGAAGCAGCTGGGTGACCAGTACGGCCCGGAGGCCAAGAAGGAAGTCGACAAGACATGGAAGCAGATTAGCGACATTGTCAAGACCGGCATCAGCCCTGCCAACATTGAGAAGATCAAGGGCGTCGTGCAAGAGAAGGTCGAGAAGATTAAGCAGCTCGGTGATAAGGCATGGGACAAGGGCATGGAGCAGGCTAAGCCCTATCTTGAGAAGAACCCTCAGATCAAGAAGCTTGTTGAGGAGAACAAGGACGCCCTCAAGTCCGGCAATGTTCAGGAGCTGTACGAGAAGGTCAAGACTGCCATCGAGAAGGGCGACACAGGCGACCTCGAGAAATACGTCAAGGACGCCGCAAGCCAGGCCAAGGACAAGGCACAGCAGTCCGGCTACGATCTCGACGGCATCCAGAAGTACGCTGAGCAGTACATGAGCAAGATCCCCGGAGGCGAACAGATCATGTCTAAGCTCCAGCAGCTGCAGGAGGCGGCATCGAACCATGGCGACGAGGCGCAGAAGATCTTCAAGGACGCCGTCTCTGAGGTCACTGAGGTGCTGAAGAAACATGGCGACAAGGCACAGAGCTTGGCAAAGGAAGCTAAGGAGGATACCAAGAAATAAGTCTCTCGCCTAGAGAACTGTCAGCATGGAAGGAGTAATGTCGATACGATATCAATTGTAGTATAGTGATGCGCCATAGCGCACGAAAGATGATTACATTTCCCAAATCTTATCCTTAACGTCATGTCCTATGCAATTATGCTTTGTGTCGTTGTCTTCCCAAATACATGGAGCGTCCATCCGTAAGTGCTCAACGACACCACTTAGGTCCACCCAACAAGCCCCCAAACACCCTTCCTCACCCCCTCGACCCCATTCCAGAATCCGCTATTGATGATCTGCCCCAAAATCGCAAGCTGATTTAGGTCCTCCTTCACCGGAATAATGACCTCTTTCCCGTCACCCAAATCCTCTTCCATCATCTCAATCTTCCTCTCCTGATCAACCTCCTCCTTCTGGTCCTCCACATGGGTCTCTTCAGCGCCCGTCAGAATTGAGTCCTTCCGGCTCCGCAGACGCTTGCGCTCAGCGACCATGTCGAGCGCGAGGAGGAGTGGCGTGGGTTCGAGCTCTGTCCTATTCGGGCTTGTGTCTAATGACGTCGGGGTTGTGGAAGCCTTTGTGGGTGTGGAGGGTGCTGAGTCGCAGGACGGGTTCATGACCATGCGGAGGAGGGTGGGTTGGCGGGCGTGCAAGGACATGCTTGCGATGGTGTCAAAGCTTGGGTAGAGCTCGGGTAAAGTGTGGAGCAGCTGTAGCACCGTGCAATCTGGATGAACCGGTGGGGTCAAGAATTTGGGTTTTATTGTGCTTGCTTGCAGATTCGTTGGGTGTGAGATCGCAGTCGAAGGTGAGGTGTGAAACTGCGAGATCGATGTCGACTTCTGGTGTGAAGAGGTTCTACAAATAGATCAAAGCACTTCTGCAGCAGCCAGTTTATTTTCACTAGTATTTCTCACAATATATGCACATGTGAGGCGAACGTGCGGCATATAGCGGTGTATCTGCATCGTGGTGGGTCGACACGTGTCAAGGTGGGTCGCGGACGGCCAAACGGATACAGCACCATCAGAAGAGCAGACTGAGCAGATGTATCAAACCTGATTGATCCTCATTTCGGTATCGTGCCTGACTGCCAGCTGCGGTCTCAAAAGTCTGTCGTCAAGTTTCGCAATGAGCAGCTCCATAAGGCTGATTGACAAAACCGGCCAGGGCTGCTGTGTGCTGGTGACGGGTGCAATGTCTAAGCCTAAGCGCCCTTCCGTATAACATGGTCACTATAGCATACTTATTTAAGACCCAGTGTCGCCCGATCCTCAATTCGCCGAACAATAACCAGCCAAACCTGCGTGAATGGTCTCAGACGCTACGTGCTGACATACGGTGACAGAGAACCTACTGGAATCGAAAAGTTGGAAGAATGAGATTTGCACTGAGAAAATTGCGTTGTACGAGATGCCACCTATCCCACAATCTTTTCTTTGCGTGGCTATATTCTGGGCGGGCCCAAGACGACCCTTCAGCGAGTCTTAAGATTTACCACTCTTCACCAAGCAGAAGTTCAACCGAGTAAACGCGCTGGGGTCAATCTTCAAGCCAGATTTCGCGTAATCCCCATCCTAACTGTCACGCCTCCTCTTTCTCGGCACTCCAGATCCAGGTTCAATATCTGGATCTTTACCCTGTGTTTTGACTTCTCGTTCCTCCTCAGTCTCTTGTTCATGCAGCTCGTCAACTTTCTTCACAGTTTCTTCGTCGTAATGTTCCCAGTTTCCACAAAATCTATAACATAGCATAGGCTCTAGGGCTCAATAAAGTGAATCCACACAAAGCCACTCTCCATCTTCCGCAATCTCCCGCCGTTTAGGTCCAAGGCCCCAGTCTCAAGTCCTCTTTTACCTTTTGTATCAGCAGCTTCATATACACTTCCTCAAAACGCTTTAGCACCTCAAGTCCGTGATGTCTTTCTTAATGAACTCTCAAGGAAAGTGGAATAATTTGGGGTCTGAATTGATGTCAATGTGGAATTTTAAGCCATGACCGTAGTCGTACAACGCTTTGGGTAATATGTCCGCTTGTTCGGGGGATCCTAAAATAGACAGGCCGAGCGCTCGTTCATGTACTGCTTTGATTGTTCAGGCTTCCGTGCTGTTGAGAGCTCCTTCCTCCGCCATGGAATGAGTAACAAGACGTTTGATGCCATTCTGAACAAAAGAGAATACAGAACGGCGTCCTGAGAAGAGGGAGAACAGGATGTGCTGGTACCAGATATAAGCAACGAAGCAGGCTGCAGATTGGGCCGGAGTAAGACCTTCCAGGCAGAGGCAGGTGCTAAGATGTCATATTCTACCTTTTAGTTTAGACTTCTCCACCGCGACTTCGACTTCGTCCTCGTCTCTCGTGAGGAATGCCGCCGTGATTCATGAATATTTAAGCGTTGCAGGATGCCTTCCTACATAGATTGGGGTACTGACCATGTGTGGTCTGGAGTAGTTTACTCAACACACCCAGGAGGGATATCTAACATCAAAACGAGAATAAAGGACGTGAAAGGTTCATATCTACCACGTAAAGGAATGTTGAAGAGGGGCGGGGTCGCAATTGGGGGTTTTGCGAATACCTGCGAAGATAACAAGTATCTGCGCCGCTTCGATGCCGCCGTTCTCTTGCCAAAATGTTGACGCAGTGGTCTGTTGCATGGCTAGGTCGTAGCAGGTGTCAAGGAGAGCATTGGTGCTTTCTGGGCTGTCCTTGATCCTCAGCTTCATCCCAGTGGCCATGGCCATGAAGACGTGGAACCTAGCCATTGGCATGGACGCAACTGGAACTGACGGAGAAGCTTTCTGGGAATTTGGATACACCATCTCGCACAGTTGCGCAAATGAGTTTGCGGCCATGCCGTACGCTTGCGGTACGCTGGCGTCAATGTGCTGCATGAACTCAGCGGTCAGAGTCTCGGCCTCAAAGCGACTGGGTAAAGTCATGGTGGAGACGGCGCGGCTGCGATCTGTGTAGCTCGAGGTGGTTGATGGAGGGGCCGGGCTGGGTGCAAATACACCTTGTCGTGGCAACCGCGGTGCCGACGTGGTGAATGGCATGAGGTCATCGTCGACTTCGGGGATTGGAGACATAGCCTGGTCATCGCTCGCAAGGGAGGTAGATGAGTGGGAAGTGTTGCGCGAATGGCTTCGACTTCGTCCGGCGGTCTTCTGCCCTGGTTGCATCTGAGCCATGAACTCCCAAGACGGCGCCGTATGTGGTTCCAGCGGCGATGTGCTCGATTTGCATTCGAGGAGGTGTGGTGGAATCGAAGCGAATTGGGAAGGAGCCGAGGTGGGTGGCAGGTCGGGGGACGATGCCCGTGTGGTACCTGACCAGAATGAAGGTACTGGTGATTCTAACGGTGATGCCACATTGGGGACATGCTCACAGTGATTGATCGCAATTGTAGGCACGCTGCTCTGCGCGAATTCTCCAAGGCTGATCCTGCTGGCGTCGAACGAGTTCGCGAACGTGGCGTCAAGGTTTATCGGTGGCGGTGGAGTCTCTTGCCAATTGAAATCTGCCGACGCGGCTGCAAGGATTGTCTCGTCGATATTTTCCATGCCGTGCATTGGAGCGTTGACATGTGCAGCGAGCTGAGACTCGAGCTGGTGTATCCGACTCTCTAGCGCTTCTCTATGTTCTCTTAACCGGTGTGAGTTATATGCCATCACGTGACAGCGCGACAACGCGGTCGACTTACGATGCCACTAGTTCTTTTGGTTTTTGCGTTCTTACACATTGTAATGAGAACCGTTTACATGTAGAGCAGGGCGTGTCGCCATCGCAACGAATCTTTCGTCGCCGACATCGTTCGCATGCATTGGACACAGACTTTCTCCGAGGCTGCCAGTCCTTAACAAATATGGGAGAGAAGCGACTAGGCCCCTCATTAGGAGGAAGAGTAGCTGTGTATTGTTAATCTTGCGTATTCTAGTTGCTCAAACGAACATACTGAAGGGACACATGGTCGCAGGGTAGGAGTAAAGGATCCCGCGCCGGTTGATAGAGTTTCCGAGAGATAGCGCTCAATGTGGACGCGAAGCCTGCAATAGCTGAGGAAAGAGGAGAAAGATCAGGGCGAACAGGACGGAGGGCGAGGTCTGTGAATGTTTTACAGCCCGTCAGAAGTCGCAGTGACAGTTCTATGTGGGGTGACTAATCGTCTGTGCCTGCCGTGGAGGAAGATCACAGAAGCGCCATTCGGAAGCCGCGACGCGGATCTCAGACAGTTCGCCCCTCATCGCCATCTGCGACGAGAGCAGCTTCGCGCTTGGGGCACCGCGCTGCCTCTATTTCTGCTGCGGAACATTCTTTGCATCGCGTCGACTTTCCTTCGGCGTGTTGTCAAGGCTGAAATGAGCCTCGCGACGACGGAGTGCGGAGGGTAGACTCCGCGCGTGCATGGTAGCGTTTCGCCGCATTCCACACGGTCTTCCGCCGCCAAGCCCCCATCCCGGAAACCTGCGGACATTCGCCGCGCATTCAAAACAACGCCAGACCAGCGATACCCCTTTTGAACTGCCAAGATCCAGATAACGCAAAGCTGAGTCTGTCCTCAGCGCGTCGTTTCACGCGTCGCATCTGCATCTCGAGTCTGATGCCTCTGTTCCCCACTATGAGTTGGAAGTCGCAAGTTTTGTAGACGCACTGCTAACGCGTCAGCTGCATAGACAGGCACACGTGGACGTCCTCAAGTTTGCTTCGAGCATGCTATTGCATTACTGCATTAACTCTTCTGTGTTGATCTTGTGTGAGAATAGTACAGCCTCTGACGCATCAGACACGGCATAGAGGCCCATTAGTCGACTGGACACCTATGATACCGTTATCCTCGACCCTCCAACCCTCACTGCCCACGCCGTGGTGAACGTAGAACAACTCAGTGGGATCAAAGCTCTGTTTCAGCTCCAGCAGTCTTGGGTAGTTATCGCCAAAGAAAGACCATTGCCAATCAGGCTCGCCAATTTGCGCTTCGTTTCCATACGCGCCGCCGCCCGGTGTTACCTCACGAAGCGGAGGCATGATCTCGCTATTCAGCTGATCATCGGCCGCCCTCCAACCGGCAGCAGTCTGGCTGGCGACAGCATTGACAACGACGAACTGAGACTGCAGATTACGAAAAGCTGGGTTGACGGCATTGACGCCCAAGTCGTACTCATCAGCCGCGTGCTGGTGGTACCAGACCAATATCGTGGCCTTGTCGACTGCGTTCCGCAAAGCTGTAAACGTCTTGTTGCGGATAGTTTCATCCGCCCAATTCTTTGTAGGGATGAAGCGGTTGCCTTGAATAGCACCAGCCCCTCCGATGTGATAGTCGTAGGTGGCAAATGTGGCCTGGTAGGCAGAGTACATGGTGTCGTGATACGTGGTGTTGGGTGCGAGCGTGATGTTAAGTTCGGCAGCCTTCTGGGAAAGCGGTGCGACCAGCGCCTCGTATTCTTCGATGGTCTTATTGGTAGCGAAGAAGGGAGACATGGTCCACATATAGCTACTGGGAGCATACTTCATGACGTTACCCCACGAGTAGGTCTTGTTACCATTATATACTGGAAAGTTGTCCCAGTAGAACCTCAACAGCTCCCAGAAAGCCTCAACAGAGACCGTCTCGGAAGTCGTCACAGTCCAGGATGAGGTCGTCACAGGAATCTTGGGATGCACTTTGACGACAGCGGAGGAGATGATGCCAAAGGTACCACCGCCGCCACCGAGCATGGCCCAAAACAGGTCGCTGTTTACTGACTCGGTAGCAGTGACAAAGCGTCCATTAGCAAGCACGATTTCGAGCGCCACAATCTGGTCCGCGCCAGTACCGAAAAGCTGCATTAAAGGGCTGTGCCCACCGCCTGTCGAGTAACCACCGAAGATGCCCACGGTCTGTAGCTTGTCAAACAATGTATGAATGGATAGGACGCGTGGCTATTACCGGGCAGATTCCAGTGACTGCTGATACGCCTTACTTCTCTGCTGCTTGCAGAAGGTCGAAGGCCTGGACGCCGGCGCCAACTTTGAACACAGGGCCAGAATAGGCCGAGCTCGTGTAGCCTTGGATGTAGTGAATCTCCTTCAGTCCATGGGTCCAGATACTGAGGGCACCCTTGCCGACCGATCGACCGTTGTAGTCATGTCCAGTATTGCGGATGGTGAGTCGCAGATTCAGCGAGCGAGCCAAATTGACGGCCAGCTGAATTTGGGCGACGTTCCTGATTTTCACAGCATACTCTGCGATTCCACCCTGAGTGCAAGTGCCATTGGCAACAACGCCTGACGCTGGAATTGGGCATGTCATACCGTAGTACAAGACATTCATCAAAGCTCCGTTATCATCATAGCTACTTCATTCAGCATCGATCTTGTCAAACTACAATGAGCCAATTTACTATAGTTCTTCCGCTACTTGGTTTTCGACGAGGTATGCACACCTCTCGGCATCGTAGTTATTGTAAGTCGAGTTTGGATAGCATGGCGATGCTATGGGCACAACAGGCTCGAGAGCGCCTCCAAGTAGCAGATCGATCAGCGCCCAGACAGACTTGCTTGGGTAAAGAGCATCTCCTGGCATTGTTTTGCAGCGCTGTGCACTGTGAGCTCGGCGAGTGCGCGCAGCTGAGGTGGTGTCCGCATCACCAAACTCGAAAAGTGAAGCCAATGCCGCAACATCAGGATTGCTTTGAAGTTCGGCAACGACATTGTCTGTCAGTTGGACGGTCTCTCGATTGAAGAGTGGCACGTTGGCTGGGGTGGAGGTGGCAGTGACGGTTTCAGCAGCAGGTGCCACGGAAGCAGTGGGAACAGAAATCCGTGCTCTTGCGACAGCAGCGCAGGCTATACCGAAGAGGAATGACTTTGACATGCTTGAGAACTGCCCTGTTTGTGAAAGGTCCGAGACAAGTTTGAGCAAAGGCGCTGCTCACAAGGCTAATGCTGCACGCAAAGCTTTTAAAGAAGCCTTGGTCGCTCGGTACGGCACAGCAGATGCCTATGCGGAGCGGACATGACATATGTTCGCCATACAGAAGCCATCTTGCAGGATGCATGAGGCGATGCTTGATTGGGAGAATAGAACACTACAACCCGAAGATTCGATATTGTCCGCGAGAAGGATCTGCATAAACGGGAGCACTCTGCAAGCACGACAGGAACATCCCAATCACGTCCACTATGCCAACGGTAACAATCTAACTAGGCGATCAAAGTTGCTTGAAAGATCAAAACCACAAACATCGGTTACTTTCTCGGGCTCCTCTCCGCTGGATCTCGGGCGTGCAGTCAGCGACCAGCATCAACTTTCTTCGAGACCGCGAACTGCTATCGAAACATAGTCAGAACGTTCAGCTGATGTTCGGAAGTGCGGCGCAGGCAAGTTGCAACCAAGAGGCTTCAAGAGGCACGGCCTGCTTGGCAGCGGCATCGGTACTTAACGCGGAGTGGACGGGCGGCTCCCTGGTGGCCGTCTTTCGTTGATTTTTGCAACTCGAACAGGCAAGGGGCCAGATAACCTTGTCATTTATCATCTAATCTGTAACGTACTCCACAAGCGAGCCGGTCACCCAAGCGAGCCGGTCACTTTTGCCAAGACCACGCCAAACTTCACTCTACCTTTGATGTCTCAACGCAACAACACAAAAAAGCCTCTAAATAAGGCTAATATAACGTACCCCACGGGCGAAAGAATTAACAGGCAAGAGAATCACTTTTGCCAAGCCCCCACCAAACCACTCTTCCTACACCAATGTCTTTACAATAACACTATTTAGACGCGTTAAAAGAAGCTTAGATACAGCTTGCGCTCTAGGCTCTTAAACAAGACGCGACACTCTCTTAGCAACATGCTGCAGCTGTCTATAGAGTTCCTTAAGCTACACTAAGCAAGCAACGCACAGGACAACCTTCACGCGCTAATTCTATAGCCAACTTACAGAAGCTAGACAACAATAAGGAGAAGGTGATTATTAAATATATTCTTAAGCTAGACACACAAGGATTTTCTCCCTAGCTCTTAGATGTGGCTACTATGGCCAATTCTTTGCGCGCTAAGCGCAACCTAGGCCCTATTAGCGCAAACTGGCCTAGTATGTTTATTAAGCAGCACCTAGAGCTTAAGTTAAGTTTAATTGCAATTTTAACTACAAAAGAGCCCTCTGTAAGGATCCTAAGGTTCTACAGGGCTAGTTTAGCCTAGTAGCTAACACTAAAGCTAAGTATAGCATCTAGGATAACAACACGTACAGCTTTAACAAGATAGGCTGGCGGATGGGTAGGGTAGGGTAGGGTATAGGTATAGTCACGTGATTTATGGGTAGGAACTAGGTAGGGTACATGAGGTACCCTACCCAAACGGTTTGGGTAGGGTAGCACGTGACTGGGTATAGGTATAGGTAGGGTAGCACGTGACTAGGTATAGGTATAGGTAGGGTAGCTAGGTAGGGTCTAGGAATGGGTAGTTATTAGCAAAATCTAGGTTACTACTCTAGACTTTGTACTATTGTATACTTTAGAGCATAAGTATGTGATAATAGACTGTGATAATAAATTATAGATGCTTTTTCTTCTAAGTATTGTGTATGCGAAAGAATCTACTAGTACAACCTAGGGTTAGTTGTATACAAACTAGGTTAGTAATATACCCAAACCAAACCTATACCTAGCACGTGCTACCCTACCTATACCTATACCCAGTCACGTGCTACCCTACCCTACCTATGGTCCGTGCAACCCTACCCTACCTATACCTATGGTCCGTGCGACCCTACCCTACCTATACCTACGTCCGTGCGACCTATACCCTACCTATACCCTACCCTAGGTACATGGTACCCATCCGCCAGTCTATAACAAGATAGGCTTTATAATAGGCTAGATCTCCTAAGGAGTAGTTATTACAGCTTTAGAATAACAAGGTTAGCTAAAGGCAGTCTAGATAGGTAACTAGGAGTGGGCTACAGCTATAGTAGGCATTAATGCTAAAGAGGAGGCTATTCCTGCCTTCCTTATCTTTAAGGCCTACTACTACCTCTCTGCCTAGTATAAAGAAGAGGATCTGCCTTAAGACTAGGTTATTAGAGTCTCTAATAATAGCTAGACTACAAACAAGCTTAGTATAGACTAGATAAACTACTTTAACAGGCATACAAAGGAGCATACTATTAGCACCTACTATTTACTTATTATTAATAGTTATTAAAGCTATAACTCTCTTAAATTCTAGCAGTACTATAAGCATAATAAGATAATTACTCTCTATTTGCCTCCCTAATTATTACACCTTACACAGCCCCTTAATGTGGCTTATTTTGCTGCTTTAAAGAAGGTGTATAGGCACTAAGCTAAAATACTTAACGTACTCCACGGGTGAGTCGTTTATACGGGTGAGTCGTTCATACTGCCAAGACTGTAACAACGCTCTACGAACAGTGACCCGATACCACTAGGATACGGTTCTAGCAACTTATGACCATGGCCCTTGTCGCATAGCATAAGCTCACACTAAACTACCACTAAACCCTTATATATAAGGTGCAAGGAGCTGTAGCATTGTAGAGTAGTTTTTCTATATCCTTTTGTACAAGACCTATAGGTGTAGAGAATATATCCTAGTGTTCTTATCATCCCAGCACTCCCATATGCCTCGTAGCGGATTCACACCTATTCCGGATATCTCTCTTCTTGCCTGCGTCGTTACAAAGACCACACCAAACCTCCACCCTATTATGGCTCGCATTGGCCTACTTTGGCCTTGTATACACTGGTACAGCATGTAATATTATTTAGCAACAGCTTCTACAGCCTTTTTACACATGCACAAGTTATGCCCTACCTTATAACACTATTTATAGTATCTTTAGGTTACCTTACCTCCTTTAACACATGCTTACTTCCCTACCTTCTTACTATTACTACACGCCCTAAACTTAGTTAGAGTAGTTAATTAAAGGCCTTCCTTAGCTATTAGGACCCCTTCCTGCTATAACTGCTTTCTTTTATGCAATTTACGTTGCGTGGAGGCCTTATTTGCTGCTTAAAGCCTAGTGATTTCCTTTTGAGCTAACACTAGCTTGTGTGCTACTATAGCTGCGCCTTTAGCAAGCTTTTTAAAGGCCTTAACTATTAAAGTTAGTAAGCTGCTTACATGCCTTTAAATCCTCTCTTAAATTAGTATTAATTGCAACCCTATTTACAGGGTATTGCTAGGGGTATAGGACTACTAGGGAGCATCTTCTATAGTAGGTAATAGTAGGGTATATAGGTAGATATTAAGACCTATTATAACCTATTCTAGCTTAAAGGGAACTAGTCTAGCGCCTTAGAAGCCTCCTTAGATATTGCTAGGAGTAAATAACTCCTTATAGGCGCCTATAAAGCATAGTAGGAACTTAGTTTTAGTAATATGCGTAATTCTATTGCATATAAGATCCTTAGCTTAGCTCCTATACGCCTTCTTTAAAGGGGAAAAACAACCTATATCTAGTAGCTGTAAGAGGTGTAATAAGTATAGAGGCATACATAGTGTAATAGTATTTACTTCCTTGCAGTATTATTAGAAGTCTAGGGAGTTGTGGCTCTTATAGCTGTTAATAAGGAGCAGCTAGTACACTCCTTAGGTGCGTGTCTTTGTATAGGCATTAAAGTGCTTTAACTAGTTAAGACTAAGCTAGTTAGTAGTTTATCTATTTATAGAGACTCTAATAACCTAGTTATAGGGCAGATTGTCCTCTTTGTACTAGGCAGAGAGGTAGTTGTAGCCTTTGAAGATAATAAAGGGTAGAATGGCCTATCCTGTGCTATTAATGCCCTGTATAACTGTTGTTCACTCCTGGTTGCCCTGCTGCACTGCCTTTGGCTGTCTGCTACGCTCTAAGCCTGTAACAACTGCTCCTGTTAATATCTAGCCTATTATAAAGCCTGTCTTATTAAAGTTGTATATGTTATTATCCTAGATGCTATACTTAGCTTTAGTATTCTCCACTAGGCAGAACTAGCCCCTAATAACCTTAGGGTCCTTACACAGGGCTCTCTTATAGTTATACTTGCAATTAAACTTAACTTAGAGGCTAGGGCAGTGCTTAATAAACGTATTAGGCTAGTTTATGCCAACATAGGCTATATTACGCTTAGCGCGCAAAGAATTGGCCATATCAGCTACAGCAGCCAATTAAGGGGCAAATCCTCTAGCATCCAGCTCAAGTATGTACTCAGCAATCACATCCTCCTCAGTCTAATCCATATTCTGTGATTTTGGCGTGCAATTGGCTCGTGCAGTGCGTCCTGCGTATCGATCGCGTAGCGTGTTGTAAGGCGCGTTATATATAGCTGCAGCGCGTCGCAGAGTGAGCGTCGCGTCTTGTTTAACTGCCTGAAGCGCAAGCTGTATTGCAGCTTCTTTAAAGGGCTTAAATTTTTGTTGTTGTTGAGGCATTGCGTTGTGAAGTAGAATGTTGGTGTGGTCTTGGCAGTATGAACGACTCACCTGTATGAACGACTCACCCGTGGAGTACGTTATACGTAACTATATTAACTATATTACAAAGGTAGAGTTCCTACCATGCTTTATACGCGCTATAATGCTATGATTACTTCTAGGAATTTCTAGGGAGGGTTTTAAGGCGCTAGACTAGTCCTATTTAACCTAGAACAGGTTATAAGCAGCCTTGATGTAAAGCTGCGCATGCTATCACTACTTCTACCTGTCTATAACAAGCTCTAGCAGTTGTAAACCCTAAGCAACACCCTTAAACTTAGGTTGCAATTAACGCTTGTAAAGACAAGGATTTAGAGGTATATATATAGCTTGCCTACCTCTATAGTTAAAGCGTTTAAGAAGGTCTTAAAGGGGGCAGCTATAATTGCGCATAAGCTAGTGTTGGCGCAACAGGAGATTGCTAAGCTTTAAGCTACTAATAAGGCAGCTATACAACAAAAATTACATAAAAGAAAGTAGGTTAAGAAAGAAGGTACACTAATAGTTAAAGAGGGCTAGTAATTAATAGCTCTAAAAGAGTTTAGGGCGCGTAGTGATGGTAAGAAGGCAAAGAAGCAGGTGCGCGCTGAAGTGGGTGAGCCTTCCTAAAGGCGCTGTGGATGGTGCAGTAAGACTGGGCATAACGTGCGAACGTGTAAGAAAGAGGTAGAAGTAGTTTCTGAATAATATTACAGGCTGTACTGCAGTTTGCAGCGCTAATATAGGTTGTTTTAGGCTGTAAAGTTATGAGACTTTGTTCTTATAATCTTTCTCCAGCGTATTTCCTTCTTAGGTATAGCGCCATGCTTACCTTAGCATCGTCATTATAATCTCCCAAAAGAGAGGATTAGAATAGTCTGCTTACAAAGCCTGTACCTCCTCTTATTCTTAAGATATGCTGTTCTCTATTTTTAGTAACTAGAAATGTTCTAGACCCTCTGCTTATAAATAGAGTAGCCTACTCTATAAGATGCTAACATATACAATTACGCATACACCTAAATAATCTTGCTTGTATATATAGTAATACTAAGCATAGATTATAAAGTAGACCTACCTACATCAGGAAAAGTTTTTCCATTGTCGAAATCGGGAAATCGTGGCATTGTACTGTGGGCAACAGTAGGACTGGTAGGCCTACAACAGTTATTCAATGTGCATTCAATGTCCAGCCAATTTTGAGCTAATTTTGAGCCAACAGCTCCAACAGTCCTAATGGCTCCAATGGCCACAATAACTCCTAATCCTGCTACAATAGTAGCTCTGCTTAATAAACTATACTTTTATTATATTAATATACTACTAAGTCTCCTCTTTAAAATAAGCTATTAAATAATATTATAGGCCTAGTAATAGAATAGTTATTAAGCGTAGAAGGTTTTAAGCTTAATATTCCTTGCCAAGACACTAAGTTAAGATTCTTTGCTAGGGCTCTAGCAGCCTAAATGTTAGAAAATATAAGAATATTATTTAAGAATAGTAGGTAAACCAAGAATTTTAAGCCTAGGCCTGCCTGTCCTGCAAGCTCCTGTTGCGCTGCTGCTGTGTGTGTGTGTGTGTGTGTTGTGGTCAGCAGGTGCTATGCTGTATGCTGTTGCAGCTGCTACGTTGTGTGCGGGCGCAGCTGCAGCTGCTATGGTGTGCTGTTGCAACTTCAAAACACAAACCTTTAACAAATAAACCTTCAACGCTCTATAACTTGTGTTGTAGTAGGCCTACAATAATAATTTTTTGCTTATTTTAAAGCTACAATTTTGCTCTATCTGTATGTGAAATTTTGCAATTTTTAAATATTTGATGCTAGTGCTAGCACTACTAAGGGTAGCTATGCAACAATATTGCAATATTGTTTTAAGTTTATTAAATATAGGCACTTAGTATTTTAGCTATTAGTAATGTTAGTGCAAAATTAGGGCTGTTAGGCGCAAATTAGGGCTGTTAGGGCTGTTAAACAGCTGTTGCACAACTATGCCACAACTGTTAGCAACAGCTAGTCTAGGCCAGATTTTGAAAAACTTTTCCTAATGTAGAGGAGTCTAGAATGTTCTACTTAGAAATATAGACAGAAGAGAGGAAGCATAAATACCTCTAGCTCTCCCCCCTCTGTTTGCTCTATACCTAGCCTAGGAATCTCTACCTAGTATCTAATATAATAACTTGTCTATTATATTACATAACCCTACCTTACCTCTATTTAGCTATACGCTTCCTATTTAGACAAAGCTAGTCTAGATTTGTCTAGGTCCTTCTAGACTAGGAAGAAAGTAGTCTAGTCCTTCCCCTACTTTCTTTACATAGGCCATAACGGGGTGGAGTTTGGTGGGGGCTTGGCAAAAGTGATTCTCTCGCCTCTTGATTCTTTCGCCTGTGAGGTACGTTAGAAATAGTTTCTAAATAATTTTACCGGCTGTACTGCAGTTTGCAGTGCTAATTTAGGTTGTTTTAGGGCATAATAGGGTGGAGTTTAGTGGGGGCTTGGCAATAGTGATTCTCTCGCCCGTTGATTCTTTCGCCCGTGGGGTACGTTACTTAAAGTTGCGTTAATGCTGCACTACTAGTGTCAGATGCTCGTACTGTGAGCCAGAGTATGTGCTTACTAAGGGAAAAGTTTTTCGAAATCCAGCCCAGACTGGCTGTTGCTGACAGTTGTGGCATAGTTGTGCAATAGCTATTTAACAGCCCTAACAGCCCTAATTTACGCCTAATAGCCCTAATTTCGCGCTAATATTACTAATAGCTAAAATACTAAGTACCTATATTTAATAAATTTAAAATAATATTATAATGTTATTGCATAGCTACCCTTAGTTCTACTAGCACTAGTATTAAATATTTAAAAATTGCAAAATTTTATGTATAGATAGAGCGAAATTATAGCTTTAAAATAAGCAAAAAATTATTATTGTAGGCCTACTATAACGCAAGTTATAAAGCGTTAAAGGTTTGTTTGTTAGAGGGTTTGTGTTTTGAAGTTGCAACAGCACACTATAGCAGCTGCAGCTGCGCCAGCACACAATATATCAGCTGTGTAACGACTATGCACGAACACGACACCTGGCATAGCGCTCATAGCAGCTAGAGGCAAAGCTAGCTGGCTAGCACTATTATTGTCTATATATATTATACTACGCAACGAATACTTGCTTAAGTATTGTTGTGCTTACCTTTTGGTATAGGCAGAGAAGTCACGTAGTATTGATTTCGAGGGCAGGGCGCCTACTCTGTTACAAGCTGCAGCTGCAACAGCACACGACGTAGCAGCTGCAACAGCACACAACATAGCACCTGCTAACAAGCACACATTGCTGAAGATGCAGGGCTAGGCGAAGAATTCTTAGTTTACCTACTATTCTTAAATAATATTCTTATATTTTCTAATATTTAGGCTGCTAGAGCCCTAGCAAAGAATCTTAACTTAGTGTCTTAGGAAGGAATATTAAGCTTAAAACCTTCTATATTTAATAACTATTCTATTAATAGGCCTATAATATTATTTAATAGCTTATTTTAAAGAGGAGACTTAGTAGTATATTAATATAATAAAAGTATAACGTGGTTCACAAGCGAGTCGCTCACCCAAGTGAGTCGTCCACCAAACACCCGCGCCGCGCCTACGCAGCAGTGCAGCGCAGCACTACAATAAATTACAATACTACACATAACATTATAATATTATTTAGAAGTGTTGCTATTATCTACGTCCTTAATTTCTACCTTACAGGTGCAGGAGTTATGCCTAATTTTGCTGCAACAGCCGCAGCGCCTCTCTGCGCGCACCCTCTTTACAAGCGTCTTACCCTCCTTATAACTACTACCCTCCTTTTTAGCAACTAGTTTAGATACCTTACTAACTATTAGAGTCTCCTCTACGCGTATAAACCACCTTTTATAGGTCTTGCACTTTATAAGTGTAGTAATAGTGTCTTATAGGTAGCCTATTTCCTCCTACACTAACACTATATTATAAGCTATCTATTAAGCGCCTTTACTTAACTACTTAACCTACTTATCTAATAAACTTGCTAGTGACCTATAATGATTTTGCATGCGATTTTGGATCAGTGTTGACTGCGCCTCTATCTCGCGGGCGTTGCGTGGTGTTTGCGCCTCCTAGGCGACAGTGCCTGGTGCAGGTGGCGTTGGCGTACGTAGCTGTACATCAAGCTTTAATAACACAACCTTAGGGTTATGCAGGGCTAGCCTAGCGCCTTAAAACCCTGCGCAAACATTCTCTAGTGTAAATGTCCTCTTAAAAGCTACTTTAAAGGCTAGTAGGAAGGTTTCTTTGTTAATATAGTAGATGTGGCTGCGTGCTAAGAGCAAGATCCTGTTACTGTAGTGGCGCTTCAACAGCGAGTATGGGACAATGTTAAGAGGCTGCAGGAGGTGCAATGAGTGTGGTGGCATGCAGAGAGTGATAATCTTGTTCTCCTTGCAGTAGTCCTAGAATTCTATTAAGCAGTAGCTCTCATAGCCGTTAATAATAAGCAGCCTATATGCCCTAGCAGAGGTTACCTTTGTATAGGTGTTAAAGTGCTTAAGCTATGCTATTACAACGTTGTTATTAGTCTAGCTAGTAGGAGAGACTGTAACAACCTAGTTGTAAGGTAGACTAGTAAACTAGGAGGAGATTAGGACCTTGCCTGCAAAGATAAGGAAGGGTAGGATAATACACCTGTAGTAGTCTGGCCAAAGGCCAATAAAGGATATCTACTTCCTAACAACTTTTGCTAAAAAGCATGCACAAGTTAACTAGACGTCTAGTTAACTGCGTAGATAATATATATCCAGCTTAAGCCAAGCCGGCTAAGCTAATGTAACCGGCTAGCTCTAGCTCTTCTTTAGCTTTAGAGTCTAGACCGTTACAACACCCTATTACAGCAATGCCTTGTACTAGGGTAACCTACTTATAATTACTAGGCTGTAGTTTCTTCTATTTCCTAGGTTTCTCTAAGCCTATAATAATAAGCTAAGAGGATATCTTGCCTATTATAAAGCTAGACTTATTAAAGTTCTAGGTGTCCTTATCTATAACGTAGATTATCACCGAGCCGGCCATATCACCAAACCAGCCACTTTCTCTTGGCACAGCCACCTTTTACCCCAACACAACATGCCTCAACAACAACAACTTTAGAATACTACTAGAGAAGGCAGAGTTATCCTTACTATCTAGGCCTTCTATGCTGGCCAATTTCGCAGTATCTGCAGCGCTGCTAGAGCGTTGAACGTACCTTATCAGCGGGTCTCTAATTGCCTTCGCAATATCACGTTTTAACTAGACGTACGCGCTAATTGCTAGAAACTTACTATACCAGAGGAGCAGACAATTGTCTAGTATATACTTAACCTTGATTCGCGAGGATTTGCGCCCCAGCTATGTGAGGTGGCAGATATAGCTAAT